TAACTCTCAGAGTGCTCTCATCGAATTGTGCAGCAGTGAAGTATCTTATGATACAACCTTGTGGTTCAAAATCTTCCCGAATTTGATTCGAATCAGCTACGATCGTTGTCCCTTCGCAGTCACACTTGGGAGAGAGCTGATATGTAATCGTATTCTGCAGATGTACAAAGGTATCGTGGCACTATCTGAAGCAACGAGAGGTCCAGCATATGGTTCTTTTGACAGATTCGAGACGGGCAGTGGTCGAATGCTGTCCAGGTCTTCCACTACTCCTCCAGAAGTACTGATTGAGCAATGGAAGTTATATCTTATTGTAGCATGCACGACTTTGTCCGATAAGGGAGGCCAGCAGCAGAGCTCACCACCGATAACACAGCATCTCCGGAAAGGATCGAAACCGAGCCAAACCCAAGAAAAGATTACATCTGCACGCTCGTTATTCAAATATATCATACCTCTTCTATCGGTCGGCCCCGCCTCGATCCGGGATGCAGTTGTCACTGCTCTGGGCTCGATCAATGTCAACATCTACAAGACTCTCCTGGAAGAATTGCAAGGAGCTGTAAGCCGCTGTAATGACGATGCCAGAGCTCGCATTCATCAACGCACAGCAAGCAGTCCCCGAAGAAATCGAAGAACTGACTTACTGCGAACGGAAATCACACACGTGTACAGACTCACGTCGCCGTTTCTAAAAGACGAAAATGTCAATCAAGACGATTGGATATTGAATAACCTTGTAGTCTACACAAAAGACTTAAAGCTATTCCTGATGGATGGAGAAGTGCAAATGGACTGGGAGTTTCAAAAGCTCCGAAAACACTATTGTGGTTTAATGGAAGAGCTGTTTGAGGGGATCAACAGAACGAAGGATCCTTCACGATGGATGACATTCGAGTCAAGAAAGTCATCATTTGCCTTGATGGAGGACTGGTGTGGCTACTCGCCCAACCAAACACAAATACGCCAACGTGAGGACAGCATGCGGCAATCGATGATAGACCAACAGACACTTGGTGAGAGAGGCACTGTAACTGCCGCTATGGAGATTGAGAAGAGAAATCTCCGGACTGCCGCACTCAGTGCAATGGCAGCACTTTGTGGTGGGCCGATCAGCATTACCACGGAGAGCAGAGCAAATCTACAATTCGACATCAGGCGAATGCTCTCGTGGATAGACACGATTTTCAATTCTGGCAGCGATCGGATGCATGTCATTGGAAGAAGAGCTCTGAAAAATCTCATTGTGCACAACAAGGATTTCCCCTACCTTCTTGAGCATTCAATCACAAGGTGTTACCTCGCAGACGTCACGAAAGTCCTGGAAAGTTACTTCGAAGTGGTCACTGAAGTTCTTCTCGAGCATCCGGATTACCCGATGCCTTTTTGGAGACTGCTAGGTATTGGACTCTACACCCTTGGCAGCGAGTTGAGCGAGATTCGTTCGAAGTCGGCCCATGTGTTACGAGCACTCGAGGAACGACAGCAGCGAAACTCCAAGATTCAAGACTATGACATTAGTATTTCGGATAAGACGAAAGCCGTGTACAAGCTTGCTCAGTTCGAGATTTCAAAGCGACTTTCACAAACGCATTCGGAACTTGCATTTCTCATCTTCTCCGAGTTTACAGCATACTTCAAGGACCTCCAGTCGAACTCCCAACGGAATATGGTTGCTGCTATATTACCTTGGGTTCAGATCATTGAGCTACAACTTGATCCGAATGGAGGACCAACTGCTCAATCCTATGTACTTCTTGCCAATCTCTTCGAGATTACGATCAAGTCTAGCAGTGCTTTGCATAATGAAGTTCAGGCTTTGTGGCAAGCACTTGCTACTGGCCCGCACGCTGGAAACGTTCAGCTGGTTCTGGACTTCATCATGTCTCTGTGTCTTGACCGGCGCGAGCAGAACTTTGTGGAATATGCAAAGCAGATTGTTGTGTTCTTGTCAAGTACTCCTGCAGGTGTAAAGGTCGTCGAGTTCCTGCTGATGCAGATTACACCCAAAGCCATGATACCGAACGAGAAACGTGAACTCATTCCACCACCGCCCGACACCGTCAAACTACCCTATCTTGCTGATCTGTCAGAAGCACTGCCTATTGGAGCCAAGCAAGCCGGGTTCTCACTTGGTCAATTATCCCTAATCCTTTTGGTGGATTTGATGGTGTCTCCCGTCCAGCTCGTGGCCGAGAATGTTCCTCTGCTCCTTCAAGTCGTCACAGTCTTATGGGATCACTACATCCCTCTTGTGCAAGAGCAGGCTAGAGAGATGCTTATTCACATGATTCATGAGTTGGTCATATCAAAGATCGATGATGAGGAAGCTCTGCCGATGAAGAAAGCCGTCGAAGACTTCATCGAGTCCATTCGCCGACATGATACCAAGGTGGTTTGGGCATACGAAGACTATAACGGAAAGGTTGACGACCAGGACAATAAGGTGCCGCCAGGAATGGAAGTCTTAACTACCGAGGTGGTCAAATACTTTGAGATTACCTATCCTGGAATTCAGGAGCAGTGGGCCAAATTATCTTTGACTTGGGCAACTTCTTGCCCGGTCAGACATCTTGCCTGTCGATCGTTTCAGATATTCCGATGCGTCTTGACTTCGCTGGATCAGCCCATGCTTGCGGATATGTTGGCAAGACTGTCGAATACTATTGCCGATGAAGATTCGGACGTGCAGACATTCTCGATGGAGATTCTCACTACACTGAAGACTCTCATCTGCAAATTAGAGCCCGCAGATCTCATCACCTTTCCACAACTGTTTTGGACTACATGTGCTTGTTTGGATACAATTAACGAACGGGAATTCCTCGAGGCACTTGGGATGCTGGAAGAACTCTTGGTGAAGCTCGATCTTAGCGACGCTGGTGTGAGGATGCTTCTAGCTGACGGACGACCGCCGAGATGGGAAGGCCTTTTCGAAGGGCTACAACCATTGATCCACAAAGGAGCACGCTCTTCGGTGTGTCTTGACCTGACGCTGAAGATTATGGACCGACTTGTTCAGCTTCCAAATGATGAACTGATTGGAGACGACAGCCGATTACTGTTTGCCATTCTAGCCAACTTTCCAAGGTTCCTCCATGCTATGGATCAAGCGAAGATCGATGCGGAGAGTATTAAGAGTGCAGGGATCCTTGCTCAGATTGCTGAACTACAAGGGTGTAGCACGATTTCCCGAGCATTGATAGGATTTGCCGCTGGACGGTATCGTGCAAGCAAAGATTTCCTTGCTCAACTTGTATCGGCCATTCGCGAGAACTTCTTCCCTGAGTGGGACTTTGGAAGCCTGACATTCCTGATGGGTCTTCTGACGAATAGTGTTCCCTGGTTCAAGGTCAAAACCATGCGGATTCTATGTGCTGTCATTCCAGATATTGACATGAGGAAGCCGGAGATTGCTTCACATGGTCCTGATTTGATTTCACCTCTTCTAAGGTTGCTGCAGACAGAATTTTGTATGCAAGCGCTCGAAGTGCTAGATCATATCATGACCATGACCGGCACATCGATGGACAAGCATCACTTGCGTATGAGCATGACCAGATCATCATCCAAAGCTATTCGGAAAGAGTACGAGCGTACACAGAGTCTCTTTGGTATTCCAGAAGAATCAGGATGGTCCATTCCCGTTCCTGCTAAGCATGCAGAGACAACTCGTTCGAACGTCCACGCAGCTTTCTACATGTGCCAAAGCGCCGAGAATATGGATCCCGAGACCGCGCCAACCCCAGAAGTCGAATTCCACGTTGATGACTTCCAATACGGCTATTTCCCAGTAACAGAAAGAACGGAGACAATGATGTCCGACGAAGCTCGCGGGGATGGAAACATTGGCGATCTAGTAATGAAACTGGACAGCCTAGACGACTTCTTCGAAGACAGCTTACAAAGTCCTACCTCTGATGGTCGCTCCTCACGCACCATCACCGAAGCCGGCTTCTCAGGCGAAGGCTTCGAGTCCGGTGCGCAGCTCTACGACGAGCAGACTCTACCTATCCTCCACCAATCCCTTGCGCGTACAGGAAGCACTGCATCCTTCCAAAACGGCTTCGCAGACATGCGACCCTCAAATAGTAGAGCGAACAGTAGGGACGGGCCATCCTCAAACGCCATGAATCCCGGCGCATTCCAGCTCCCGCCGACCTCAAACCCGACCTCAAATCCAAGACCTACGCTACATTCAAGATCCGTTACTTCGCCATCTGCACCAGCTTCTTTCCAAAGCAACGTCACAACATACATGTCTGACGAGGATTACATTGAGGAAGTCTTCTCCGACGCAGATGAAGAGCGGGCCGCTGGCAATGGGCCTGGAGAAGGCAGTTTCTTCCTCGAGAACATGATCAAACCTCTCGCGCATGGCACACGCTCCGGAATGCGCAGATTAACAGGTGGGAGGAGTAGAGATGGCGAGAGATTCCGCGATGGATTAAGGGGTGAGAGGAGGGGGTTGAGTCAGCCGCCGAAGAGCCCTAGGGTGCCCAAGGTGCCGAGTGCGTATTTGACGAAGAGTAATGCTGCGAGTCCTGGGGAGGGGGTGTAGAATATTATTTTTATGATGAGATGATGGGCGGCCGTTGTGTTTGTGTTTGTGTTTGGGCAGAGATAATTTAATGGAGGCAATTTGAAGCGTGTTCTTGATCTATTGTTTGGCATGAGATAGAAGATTAGGTTGGATGGCGTCGAAAAGATGGTTTGCTTGTATAATAGATTGCAAAATACCATGTGGTGCTTATGATTTCAGAGGTTGCAGATCGAGAAACGGTGATGAAAGAAGACCTTCCTTACTCCCAGAACCCCAGACCCCCGGACGAGTGAGCAAAGGGGAAAGGGGTTCTAAACCCCAGGATCAAGAATTTTCGCTAAATCAGCACCTAATCATATCGTTTACATGTGATATGAGCCCACTTTTAACGGCTGAAAATAGGCTAAATTACTATGACTCGTATAGACGAAAATAAGCACAAAAATTATGCTTCAATGCCCGTTTGGCTTAGTGGTACAGCGTCTCACTCGTAACCATACGATTTGATCGTTAATATTACGCCTATGAGAAGATCCTCGGTTCGATTCCGAGAATGGGCAATGATATAATACCCTTTTGCCTTTCCCAGTTCTTTTTGGGGTTGAAGAATTTGGTCCTTTACCAAAAAAATACAATTCGCCACCCTTAGGTGCCTCACATGTGAAAATGACGTTATCCAGAACTTTATCATTTTCCCGTTCAAAACTGGATGTATCACTTCACAATTGGTGTCAATTCATTGGCGAAGAAGCACTCTTTGTTCCAAGGCGCTTTGTCCTAACCCACGAAATACCTATCTGAAATTTATTTCTCACTCTTAAAATGGCCTTGTTTCTTCTGCCTTTGTCAATTCGCCCAAGCCTCCGAAACCTCTCCCTTATCCTCCTCATGTGCTTCCTTTTACCACCCCTCACAACTTTCACCCTTTTCAGTGCCTTCCTCGCGCCATGGCTCGCATCCACAAAACATATAATCCAGACTCGCCGCTGGAGAGCGATTTCCTCCCCTACTTTCCGGGCACGCACTATTCTCGTTACAAATCTCCGTACCCCAGAGTCTCTGTCTCTAGCACGAACTTTCTATCGAGCTGGTCATCGAGTTATTGGTGCTGATTACGAAGAATATTATTTCCCAACCCCAGCACATTTCTCGAAGGCCGTGAATCTGTTTTATAGATTAGAATATGTGGATGGAAATAAGGGGAGAGAAAGATATATGAGGGATCTAGTAAATATTGTAAAGAAGGAGGGGGTCGAATTGTGGGTTAACTGTTCAACTGCAGGTGTGGATTTGGAGGTTAGAAAAGTATTGGAAAAGGAGACAGGATGTCAAGTCTTTCAATTTGGGAAAGAGGCGATGGGATTGCTTCGAGATGAAGCTGCCTTCAGGGAACATATCAAGAACCTCGACCTGAAAGTTGTAGAGCAGCATCTCGTTACCTCAGAGGATGAAGTACTCTCAATTCTCTACCCCAAGAACAATTCTGGTCTAGGAAAACAGTACAGCATAACCAGTGTCACCCCAACCGACAGCAGCAACTCAGAATCGGCACTCCTCCTCTCATCTCAGAACAACATCCGAACATACATTAAAACTCTGCACCCATCATCCTCCAACCCCTTACTCCTACAAGAAGCTTTTCCCGATCACCAGCAATACACAGTCTACGCCCTCATCACTCACGGTAAACCAGCAGCTTTCGTTGCCTACCCAACCTCAGCAACAATCCTCACACCCCTCCCATCAACGTCTCTCCTCGCCCAAGCACTGCTGAAATTCACAACACACCTCACCGCCTCTCTTCTTTCCAATCAAGCAAGGAAATCCGGACACCTAACCCTCCACTTCACCCTCTCCTCCAACCTCTCCCTTCTCGCAGAATCAAAATTCGGCACCTCTTCTACAGCTATCACGTCTTTCCTTTCCAAGATCCACTTGCTCTCCATCTCACCGGTCCTCGATCTCGGAACTCTAGCACTGAGAGATGTATCTGAAGATCTCGCATCAGCATACCTTTCTATCCTACCAGATCACGAGCTGAAAGGGATCAGTAACGGGCACTGGGAGGAACAGATTATTGTGCCGCGACCAGGGGTCAGGGGATATTATTTTCTTGAAGGAGAGGTTGTGAGGCTAGTTTTGATGCCGATTTGGGGGTTGTTGAGGTGGGAGGTAGGGTTTAGGGAGGTGGTCAGGGGGTGGATTGAGTTGGTGGGGTTTGTGCTAGGATGGAGAGAGGGGTGGTGGGAGGTTTGGGATCCGTGGGTTGTGTGGTGGGGGTATGGTGGTTATGTTGTGGGCAAGGCTACGATTGGGATGTGGGAGAGGAGGGAAAGGAATGAAGAGAATGGTGGTGATGAAGATACAATTGCGAGATGAACTTAGGATTTGCCACCTGAAAGGATGGTATACACATACATGATGAAGCTCTCAAGTCTGTCCAGTACTTCCCTCAGACTCCGATGATTCATGAACTGCGGAACATGACGCCAAACATCAAGAATACCATCAGAGGAAAGACATTCCTAACAAACATCCCGCTAATATTGCGGTACCTATGACATTGACTGACAGATGGAGAAATGATTCCCTCTGGTGCTCAGGCGCGACTTGTCCTCTGACTAGAACAACGTGCAACATCTCCCTCAACTGTGCGTTTTCTTCATAGAGACGCCGCATCGCTTCATCTTGCGGATTGACTTGCACTCTCATCTCCACCTCTGTCACCATCGTCGTAACATTTTTTTCGTGACTTTCTTTCGCGAGGTGCTCGACAACTGCTTCTTCCGTACTCACAGCCGGTGCTTGCTCATCCTCATCTCTCATCTCTCCACGTATATCATCGGTGGTCATGAATGCATCAATCTGCTCCTCCGGTACTTGCTCATCATCTCCGTGCTGTGAAGCCTTGACATCTTTTTGGATCTCAGCGCCACCCAACTTTATGTCACCCGCTTCGTACTCGCCCTTGCTCAGGCAATCGAATGCCTTGAGGTCGTCCTCAACATACGACCGTCGTTGGATGCGTGGACGAAGACCGAAATTTTTGGCTGGTGCAGCAATGTGCTTTGTTTTGGTCACTCTGGCTGCAGGTCTTGAAGAACCTTGAAGCCGTCCTCGACCACGTTTTGCAGGTTTGGAAGGCATTGAGAGAGCCAATATTGGGTGTTTTTTTCGGGTCAGAAACTTGGAGAGATGGTCATTGGCAATATGGACACTTCTGTGATGTGGGTGCGAGAAAGGAAGAAGCTGGAGACTCGATCAAACCAGTTTGATGGAAGATGAGCAGTGCAATTTCCAAGAGGAAAGAAAGAGAAAACACCCTTCCCGAAGGGGAAAGCGCTCCGTCCGTATCTGGGTATGTTTGGTTACCGAACTCGAAAGCATCGCCTCACTTTGTTCATCTCGACGACCCGGCGAGCCAAAGTGAGCACCTCGCTCCTGTCCAGGTGTGGACAAGGTGAGAATAGCTTCTTGATCTCATATCGCAGTCCTCCCTCCCATCGAAGGGGGTTTTTTTTGGGGTGAGACTCGAAGGGTGAGGTAGGCTATGAAGTGTGCGGTGAGTAGCGAATCTTGGTCTTCTGAGCGGAGGACAACTCACTTTCATGAGTGCTGCCTTGAAGAAGCTGAAGCTGAGCGCCCCCTAACTCACACATCTTGAGCCAGCGAAGGGGATAAGACAGTAGATGAAGAGAGGGCCTAGCTTTCGCTTGGTGACAAGGAAATCTAGACTCGCTACCGTTCAAAGAACAAGAACCTTTTCTATTTCGTTGCACATCGTACTTTAAGCGAACGACTCGTACCTTCCGTTTCTTCGTGGGAGCTTGGTCGAAATCGAGGGTAGTGGATTTCGCTTAAAGTAAGATTTGCGACAAACCATAGGTAAGGGGAGGGTGTGAGTCAATGAGTTCGAGGTAGCGTTGCTAGCTTGAAGATACACAGCAGTAGAGAGTAGAAAGAGCGCGAGGGACCGAGGGTAGACGGCGCAAAGTTGTTTTGAGAACTTTGTAGAGATGTTTGTATGGCGGAGATAAATATTGTAGAAGATATATTCGAGTAAAGGAGAACAAATGAGACGGTTTCTAGTTCAAAGATGATATTCTGATTTTATAGGTATTTGAAAGAGATTCTGAGCATATCGAAGAGCGAACGGCCAAGTGCATCGCATCCACACAGCGCATATTACAAGCTGCTTCGGCTGCCAGAAATTACTCACAGAGCATCCGCCGTAAAAGGACAAGAATTTCCAGTCCAAGACAGATGTTATAGAATGTAGGAAGATCCAGGAAAAGAAATCTTCGGAGAATAACTCGCATGTACCAATTGTAGAGCTAAATTTCTTACAAGAACAATTACTGAAGAAAGCTAGCCATGGGTTCCCTGGGACGTGATGGTTATGTGCGCCTGGGATATTTCTTTTAACTCGAGGATGCACACATTCAAGGTCTTGTATCCTTTCAAGGGCGTGATGCACTCCTTCCTCGAGTCTCGATCGTAGCTGGTAACTCTCCAGTCGATACGTCCTCCTATGATATCATAGGGTTGAACCCTTCGCCGTCTCTACTACAACCCAGGCAGGTATGGCCCTCGAGTTTCAATATCATGAAGACGTTAACGAAGCCCTCAATAGCGGAGCAACTTGCTTCCGACTATTTTCCACCTTAGTCTGGTACCAACACCTTCTCCACTCGCCCTCCTCTTCATCATCAAGCTCTCCTCCTTTCCACCCCTCAAGCCCCAATCTCTCCTGGGAATCCTTTGCGAACCCCTGCGCAGCTCCCACTCCATTCGCATCCAAAGCCCAAACAAGTAGTTCCCGCTTGAAAACACCATCATTGTGACTCGTCGTCATGATAGAGACCACTGATAATCCTTTTTCTCTCGCAAAATTTCTAACTCCCTCCAAAAATTTCTCCTTGTTCCCCGCCTTCTCAAGCAAGAATTCGATATCCCTGACCACTGAGCAAACCCCCACCTTCCCCTCGCCCCCACTCCACTCTTTATAATCCTTCCTCAAACAATCCCTTAAACCCAAGTGTCTAATATCCTCCTTCGCGTTCTGAATCTCCTCAAAATACTTCTGACTACTATAACTCTCCCCCTCCTCCCCAGCCATAATCCATCCCTCCGCAAATCTAACAGCCCGCATATCACTCTCGACCGTCTTCGCCTCATCCCTCAAATTCTGCGTATCAATCAAAATCGGCGCAATCGCCAGCCTCGCGAGCTCTGCATTCCATTGCCTCTCATCCTCGCCTACGGTCTTAGCCAGCTCCTTCCATATCGGCTTGCAGTATTCCACCACAAGACTCGCGCAGCTCCCGCTCTTCTCTACAATCCTCGGCTCCTCTTCGCAGTCCCGGGGAACGGCGTCCTCTTCGTCATGATGGTCGATGCAACCCACCACACGCGAGGAGTAGATCTTTCCCAGCTCGCCGGTCAGGGCATTGTGGTCCACCAGTATCCATTTCGTCTGCTCGACTGGCAGATAGTGCGGGGAGCTGGTGAGGTCGGAGAGTGTTATTAGGTCGCTGGGCTTCAGGTTCGCGTGCTTGAG